TTTTAAGGTTTGAGAACTTTTGGCGAATTATGAAGACGTATTTTCAAAAGGAGATCATGACCTCGGCTGCACAGACCTTGTGGAGCACAGAATAGACACAGGAAATCACCATCCAAAAAAGATCCCTCCAAGGAGAATAGCTCCGGCAAAGCGACAAGAGATGGAGAAGGTCATGGATGGTTTAATTAAGGAAGGGATAGTCGAGATATCAGATAGTCCCTGGTCAGCTCCCATCGTGTTAATCCAGAAGAAGGATGGGACCCAACGCTGCTGTGTGGACTTCAGGGCTCTTAACAGTATAGCTGAAAAAGACTCATACCCACTGATGATGCTCTTGATGCCCTAAGTGGAGCCAGGTGGTTTTCAACTCTGGACTTAAAGTCAGGTTTCCATCAAGTGAAAATGGTTGAAGCAGATAAACCTAAGACTGCATTTAGTTATGGCCAAGGTTTCTGGCAATACCATGTAATGCCATTTGGGCTTAGCAATGCTCCAGTAACACTTGAGAGGCTGATGGAAAGAGTACTGGAAGGCCTACAATGGAGGATAGCCCTAGTGCACCTGGATGATGTCATTGTGTTTGCAACAACGTTTGATGAGGAAATGTCTTGGCTAAAGGAAGTATTAAAACGTTTGAAACCAGCAAACCTCAAACTACATCCCAAGAAATGCCACTTGTTCCAGAAAGAGGTGCTTTACTTGGGTCACATTGTAAGTGAGCATGGTGTGCAAACTGGTCCTGACAAGATGGAAGCAGTGCATGATTGGCCAACACCAGACAATGTGGGAGAGTTAACAAGTTTCTTGGGACTCTGTACCTATTACTGGAAGTTTGTGAAGGACTTTGCAACTGTAGCTGCTCCACTACATGATTTGACGAAAAAAAGCCAGAAGTTTGAATGGACAGTTTCTTGCCAATAAGCTTTCAAGACATTGAAAAAAAAATTGGCCTCATCTCCACTTTTAAAGCTTCCAAATCCTTCTCTGCGCCCTGTTTAAGAGAAGGTGTCTAGCTTAAACCCCGTGACAAAGAACTATTGGGCACAATGGGACCAGTTGAAGCTTGAAGATGGTATTCTTCTCCGGAGATGGGAAAGTGACGACTTGGCACGTAGTTATACCGAGAAAGTTATGGGTGTTATGCTGCATCAATCCCATGATAGTTTAACAGGAGACAAGGTGTGGTTGTATAATCCCAGGAAAACCAAAGGGAAGTCTCCTAAGTTGTCTTCTCCATGGGAAGGCCCTTATGACATAGTGGATCGTCTCTATCTTTATCTTTCTGGATAAAATGTGGCCGGTGAGGTAAGCCAAAAGTGGTGCATGCCATCAGGCTTTGGCGTTATCAGGTCTAGGACATTTCAGTTGGAACGAAGTGAACAATGGAACAAATTATGCTGCTGAAGAAGTGTCACCTGAAAAAGCCACTGTCGAAGAAGAAACTCTACCTGGTTTTGAGAAGGGAAACAGTGAAGGCCATAATGAAGTTACTACCACTGATGTGACTGTTACCGATAATGGGACATTTCCTGATGGAGCAGATGAACCCCACGTGAAGCAGAAGCCAATGAGACGGAGACCAGTACAGAAGAAGATACGTCTTGTAAAATTAAGAGACTTTGTTGTATTTTATTTTAATGTTTGTAAATTCTGTACATTTAATTAAGTTATTGTTAATTATCTATTGGTTTATTGTATGTGATTATTGTTTGGGATAAACAATACTAAGGAAGGGGCAGTGTTATGACAGCAGAAGTGATGCGATGCTGGGTGCATGCACGCTGGAGTTTCTCGAAGGATCATGAATTTGCCCACCAACTCGAGTGTGATCTAGATGCCATCTTTTTTAGTATATATATATAAGCCCGGTAAAGAAAGCCAACGGCAGATAGATAATTGAGTCAAGCAAACAGTAGGCATCGTAAGTAAAGTGTGTGAATCACTGTGATATATAGCGTGTGTTATAAAGATTGTTAAGTTCAAAGTGACTGTGGAAATTCTGTATATTACAAAAAGTTGTATCAAGAAAGAATAAACTGGTTTAATCAAGAAAGGACTTGTATCACTGAAGTTCCTCGGAAGTTATCAAACAAGCAGATACGTAACAAAATAAAGGTTTTTCATATTGTAAGAGTAAATCCATGCTACCTCACCTTCGTCTTACTTCCATGTTTTGTGTACATCTTTTCAAAAGTTGTACTGTTTTTAATGTTGTGTTTCAAGTGTTATGGTAGAATAAGTATTAAAGATAAAATGTATGCTGATACTAATGATTTTATTGTTGAAAACGAAGCACTGGTGTAAACTACACCCCTCCATCTGGTAACTTTTTGTTTTGGTGTTTATTATTATATTTATTAATTATATTCAATTACTCAACAATTTTATGTTAAAACTGACTGTTAATTTACTGGCATGGTGCTTGTTAAATAAAAATTTATTTTGCTTAAGTCAGTTGCAATAGAGTGCTCTTGCAATGCAAGCTCATTGTACGTAGCTATATGAGTACTGCACTAGCATCAACTATGTGTACACAAATATTGTGCATTTTTTTGTTTTTATTTAAGATATAAATACATTATTACAATTTTATATTTTTAAACTGCATGTGAAAGTTTTTATTTCATATATATATAAAACAGTTGTCAGTCAACTATAAACTAGTAATTATTGTGATGTCATCAGGAAATTATTAAAATCAGTACTACCAGAGATTAAAATCTTCCCTTTGTTACAGCCCAGATTGTTCTAAATTGTTTTAACATGTAATTACTTCACCGTATAAGTAGAAACAATCATTACTACTGTGCAAGTCAACAGTATTGTTTACACAGACCTGGAAAATTTCTGATATTTCATAAATTTGGATTTTACTTGGAAAAAATCCTGGGATTTAAAAAAAGAAACTCCATAATTTTTGCCAAAAACTGCCCTTGAATTTCTAGAAACCAAAATTGTCTACTTTTTAATTTTATTTCAATGGATTTTAAATTTTTTTTCAATAAAAATCTTATCATTAAAGCATCCACAATTAACTTACCATCGAGCATGGTTACTACATACGTCACTTCTAGTATCCTAACAAGAAGTATACTGACAAACTCAACAAATTCTTGAACAATTGTATTGTACTTACGTGAGTGCAGTTGAGTTCCGTCTACAACTTTCCCCAAATGTTCGAGACTTCATGTGCTCATTACATCACATCAACTACAGAACTCTCTGTAGCCAACAATGCAGACATCTAAATGTTTTGTAATGATATGTGAATGAAAATTTTGCTGAAATTATGGCTCTCTAGGTTAAAATAGCAAAATTAAGAAAATATTAGTTTTAAGCTAATCTGTACAAAACTAAAACAAATAAGACAGATGCTTCAGTAATAATCATTGATTAGAATCATCTACCAATGTAATGTTTAGCTACAAAAGAACAAAAAAGCTGCATTCAGTTCCAGGATTTGTATAGCGATTTTGTGACTGCAATAAATTCACTGTCAAAAATAACCTTACACTTACAAATACACAGTTTCAAACTTATAAAAAAATATTTGAATCAGCCTAATTCATGATTGAGGCAGTTATTTAGACTGGCAATTAGTTTTAAGGAAACTACTGCTCGGCAAAATTATCATTGAGCAAGCAAGCTTGCAACAACAATATGTTTGAGCACCTTTTTAAAAGTACTGTAGGTGTTAATGTGAAATTGAATCTAAAGAAATCAAATCCAGATAGCTTGAACAGTCATATCTACTTATAGCCTAAAATAAAGGTACTGGTGCATAGCTTGAACAGTCATATCTACTTATAGCCTAAAAATAAAGGTACTGGTGCATAGCTTGAACAGTCATATCTACTTATAGCCTAAAATATTTTCAGGCTATAAGTAGATATGACTGTTCAAGCTATGCACCAGTACCTTTAAAGGTACTGGTGCATCTTAAAGATTTGTTTTATGTAATGTTTTGAAGTAAGATATGAAATGATTGTGGTAGAAACACGCATTAAAAAGTTCTGGTTAAAAAAATTGTCAGGTCTGTGTGCACCATGAACGTGATTTGGCATGTGACATACTACTTAGAATAATGTAAGTACACTAGATTCGGATGCATGAAACCTTCTGCTATTTGTCAAATGTAAAAAGTAAGGAACCTAGTGAGAGTTTATAACTGCTCAGTTCAATATTTGGGTATGCTTTATCTTGTTTTTCACATTTTAGAATTTGTTTTGTTTTCATTTTCAAGTAACTACCTAATTACATTATAAAGTACAAGTGCATTTGTTTTAAATCTCTATTTCTAAATCCATTTTTTTTTTCTTTCAGGTATTACATTATTATGATGTACAAGTGTATTTGTTAATAGAAAAATGTTATCTAATGTGAAGCTTTATGTCTGTATTAGGTATCAAATAAGTTATGTCTCTTATAATCTTAATAAATATTTGCTCATGTTGATTAATATTTAGATCAGCTATGCTATTGAGAACTGAAATAGCTGGAAACTGTAGTTCTGAGCTGACTGGGATATTATGAAATGTGAATTTACTGTGACATGTGTATGTAGTATTGGCTCACTAGTTCTTTCCAACAGAGTTTAATAGTATTATATTGATTAAATATTATGATATAATGCTGAAACATCAACTATGAGCAAGTTATCAATATTTTAACACACAATGTAGGTAAACAGTTCTGTATTATTGTCATAAGTGTAAAAAAGTAAATATGTTTTAATAATTTCCTGGTTAACAATACCAATTGTAAAAAAGTATATATGTTAAACAATTTCTTGATTAACAATACCTGTACATCCTGGGACAAATTTATACTCAAAGCTATATTTCTACATTATTTGGCATGGATATTTTATGAAAAAATCTTATAGAATGTGTGTGTTTTTTGTTACTGAATTAACAATATTATATAACATAATTTGAAATTAAATGTATATCCATAATTGATTATTCAGATAACACATCAGTACGTTTATTTTGTTATAGATAAAGGATGGCCATGAGAAGAGTCGATTCTTTGCAAGTTTAACCCCTTTACTAGATTCATTCCCACAAAACATATGTAAATATAATATTCTTCCACAACTTGTAAATGCCTTTGAGTTTGGTGATGCAGGTTCTGCTGTTCTGTCTCCAATGTTTAAGGTACAGAATTGTCTTTCAGATATATATAGCTAGTTAGATATTCTAATGTTAGATACATATATTGTTTACTTCTGCTGATACTGAAGTTAGTCAGTAATCAGGCCTATCAAATGATAAGTGGAATCCTAATTCTCACAGTCTAAAAATGCATTTTATGTGTTACATGTATGTTAAATAGGGACAAAAACTTAAATATGCAGTGCCACTTTGTTTTTTTTTATATTTCCAGATTTTATGATTAGAGAAATGTTTTAAGACACTGTTGCCTTTAAGAAGGATTTTTAATCTTAAACCAATTAAAACTTGTACCTAGATTAACAGTTAACTGAGAATTTATGAAAATATTTGAAACTGATTCAGCAGGTGGAAAACGAAGTTTTATAATAAATATTATAGAAAACTTTAAAATTCCTGACTCCAGAACCACAGGTTATGAACTCTTCATTAACGAAAGCCTCTCCATTTTCAATGATCACCCAACACTAAATAATAACATCAACTCCTCCCTGTTGTCATTAATGTAATCAATTCCAGATTCTTAGTGTTTTTATTTGGTAATTATTATTATTTTAAAGATTCATTGTTTATACTTATATTTAAGCCTTTCTCTATAATGGTTTATCTTAACAATGTTATTTATTAAACATGTATGCCACATGTTTTTCATACATTCCATTATATTGTTATTGTTTAAATCTGTTCTTTGTAAACTCCTGATTGAATATGAAAACTTACTCAATAGCTAATGTGTTTTTTTTTGTAGTTTGAATATTATGAATTAATTTGTTTGAGATTTTAATGCTGATGACAGAATTTGAGGAAATTCTGAAACATCCATATTAAAGATGTTTTTTGGTATTACTGTGTTTTTAATATTTATTAGAAAAATATATTAAATATGTATTTCAAAATGACAATATGTGTTTGTATTGTATTATCAAAATGAAAAATCTTTTTTTATTGGCTGGTACATTAAATTAATCTAAATGTTGTGATAATTTTTCCCTTTTTAAATATCGGTAGCGTCATGTGCTCACTTCAAAAATAAAAAATATTTAAGTTTATGAGCCACGTGTGGGATTTAGTTCATCACTAATGTTACTTCATAAGATCACTAAACTGGTGAAGTAAGCGTATTATAGCATCAGGTTCTAGATGTATCATCAATTAGAAATTTACAAAGAATAGAATTTAAATGTTCAGTTCACTGAACAGACACTATGATAACCAGTGTTGAATAATTTAAAAAAGAAACCATCTTAGTAATACTAGAATTTTAATTTATAGGAAATGTCAACATATGGAAATATACTTTCAAGGATAGTTGTAATTATTTATCAAACAATTATTTCCAAAATTATCATTAGATAAAAAGTACCGTGCAGGTATTCAAAGTATAATTGTTTTGTCATTAATGGGTGTCAGACATTTTATTTACTTTTCTTATTACAGTGTTTTTTTATTGTTTTTCTTTTTCATTTTTCACATTAACCTCTTTTTTTTGTTTGGACTAGCTTGGCAAGTTATTAGATACAGAACAATATCAGAAGAAGATAGTTCCTTGTGTAGTGAAACTGTTCTCTTCAAAAGATAGAGCAACAAGAGCTAAACTTCTGCAACAGGTATATCATACTTATTGTTTTTACTTGCTTTGTAACACTTGCTAACTTTTAGTAAATTTAAGGATTTGAACAAACCCAGAATTATACCATTTTATGATGTCTCAGAATTACTTCTGAAAACATGTATATTTGAAATGAAATACAGAAAAGAGAAAATTAGGTATAAATTATTAAAACACACTATTGGTAAACTTTTTGTTATGATTCTTTTTCACATTATAGGTGTACTTACTGTGAGGATTTGTTCATTGAAGTATATATAGTTAGCAGAAAATGATTTCTAAAAAAAAACAGGTTAATGATTTTCTATTTGGTGCAACTCAAAGATTTTAATATCATATAAGGTAGAATTTTGACTGTTTTCCATTGCAATTAACTTAGGTAGCTATTACTGTTATTACCTTTGCCATCAAAATGGACAGAGATTATGTTTTCACCCCTGATTGTTTGTGTGTTTGTCAGCAAGATTTCTTGAAAACAGCTGGATGGACTTGGATGAAAGTTAGCATACATTTGGACTGTGACTCAACTTAGAAGTGATTAGTTTTTGCAGGGTCAAGGTCATAAAAATCCAAAAATCTATTTGTTAACATGAGTTTCGATATTTCACGCTATTTTTGTTCTATAACTGTGTCAAAAATTATTGGATTTTGATGAAACTTGGTGGACATATGTAGAATATTATTCCTCATTGTCCTGCAAAAAATGGTCTGCATCTTGATAATGACGAACATACAGACATATTTTCATACGTTTCGAGAGCCAAATATGATCATTGCTGGTATGCGCTCTAATGAGTGCCCCTCTAGTTATTATTAATATTAGGAATAAATATAGGCATGCTCTGAGATTGTAGTAATGTATTATATCATTGAACAGGTTCTTTTGGATTATATGATAAGAATAATACCAAGTACAGTCCATGTAACAATTGTGACTTAGTTTTTCTTCTATAATGTTTTTACAGGCTACGTTTACTTTTGACACTAGTATTAGGCCTATGTTCAAAAACAAACTTTTGAACATAAATTTTTGAAACTACTGTAAGCCTAATACACTAATCACATTTAACAGAAATTTCCTCAATTAATAGCAACTGACTAACTTACTTATTAGCTGAACAAAAGCAGTAACTCTTATTGAATCAATCAGTCTTCTCTTAATTATGAACTACTTGTATTTATACTGAACTCTCACATCCATCCTGCACAGGAAGTTTCAGGGTTTTAGGACTACTGTTATTAATATTTTTGATATTAATGCCTTGTGCTCTTTAGCTAACACCTAGATTGAAACAGTATTTTCCAGATGCTGTAATATACATTGTTGACATTAAAACACTGAATTTACATTATTGCTCATATGAAACACTTTTTAATTGTTTTTTTGCCATAAAAATAAATGAAAGGAAAACTACAGTGAATGTATAATTTTTATCCCACTTGTAATTGTATATTTATAATCCATTGTAGCAGACTGAATAAAAGTTTTGTAGGTATTTGTTTTAAAAGTGGTTGTAATAAACACCAATAAATGACATTAATTCTGTTTAATATTTTATATTCTCTTATGATGATACATCAATTTTTACTTACTTTGAAAGTTAATATCATTAAGTACGGTAGTACTTAATAGTAGGGATTGCGATAGAACAAAATGATGGCCATAAAAATTGCCTGTTTAAAACCACTTTTAAAATGTCTGAATATTAACAATGTCTATTTCTCAGTTTTGGCTGAGCAAAACTAAAGCTTACTGTACGTATAAAGCCGCCAGAATTGTTATATATGTGTTTATGCAGTGAATTAAAATTTCACTATTTCAATGAATTTTTATCTAAGTAAGTAAGTGAATATTCCAGACAAATATACAGAAAAAATGATGAACCTTATTACTCCAATTGTTTCACAGAACTCTTCTGCTTGAGATCCCAATGATTCCTTTCTTATACTGAAAAGGATACTAGTATACATATGATTATTGTTATATGTATATATAATGGATGATGCAGTATTTGGGACATATAATTAGATTTGAGAGTAGGATGGTAGAAATCCTGATGATTAATAAAATTTAACTGGGCATATGGGTGCCCCACGCTTGGTATCGCTGGTGCACAAAAATTATAGCTATAAAAAAGAAACAAACAAGTATAATAAAAAAAGAATTTAATTTCATATTGACAAGTAGGGATTGATATATATGAAACCTAAATAGCTATAGTAATATAGAAAGTTTTAATGCTACAAAAGTATTGAAACAAGAAAGTCAAAACTACAAAAACTGAGTTACTTAAAATTTAAAACATTTTATCCCTACTTTGGCTCAGACTAACATGATTACAATGATTTCTAAGTACTTAAACTGCTAAAATATTTAGAATGCTAAGCAATTTCAAATGAACTTCACTAAAATAGAAAGTACTAAAATCATTATCTCACAAATTTTATGGCCAGGTGGTAAGGGCCCTTGACTTGTAATCTGTGGGTCGCAGGTTCAAATCCTTTCACACCAAACATGCTCGCCCTTTCAGCCTTGGGGTTGCTATAATGTGACAGTCAATCCCATTATTCGTTGGTAAAAGAGAGTAGCCCAAGAGTTAGCAGTGGGTGGTGATGACTAGCTGCTTTCCCTCTAGTCTTTCACTGCTAAATTAGGGACGGCTAGTGCAGATAACCCTCGTGTAGCTTTGAGCGAAATTCATAACAAACCACAAATTTTATCTTTATTTAAGCCATAAAAAGTAGTGATTTATTTTTCTTTGGAATTAATTTAATTTAATTTTGAAGAATATAAAATTTTCTATCATGGATTAACATCTAAAATTGTGTACATTGATACCCCCCTCTCCTCCCAAAAAAGTAGAAGTGGATTTGGTACTAATTCTGTTATGAAAAAATGAACTAAACTTGTATTATTTTCTGTGTAAGTAATTATAAACTAAAATTGTACTCTTGTTATTGTACACATGCCATACATAGGTATTTTTTTACATTTCCAACATAATTTGTGAATAATTATTCCAAAACACCTTTTAAATCTGTAACATTATTTTGTCTTTCTTATCATCAGATGGACCAGTTTGTACATCATCTTCAACCTTCTCTTATCAATGATCAGATTTTCCCCCAAATCATCCAGGGATTCATGGACACTAATCCAACCATTAGGGAGCAAACAGTCAAAGTTAGTGAAGTATTTTTCACTAAAGTTTTCTTAGTTCTTTTTTAAAATTAGTGTTTTAGTAAATGCTTTCTGTTATTTCTTTCAAATACTAGGTATGTGTGTGTGTGTGTTTGTCATCATTCTTAGATTAATTTTAGTCATGGTTTGTAAAAGTATCCAATCATTAACCATTAATTTTCATGAAAGAACATTAATGTGACTTAAGAAAGACTCAGATAAATAAATACATTGGCATTAAAGGTTATTAAAATTCTGTAAAACATCTCTAATATGTATGGGTGTTTCAACACAACAGAAGTTATCATTCTAATAACATTTTTTTTATCTTGTAAATTTAAATTCTGAAATACACTTACCTCCTCTCACACTTTAGCTTTATGCCGTCAAAAGTTTCTCATCCCTGTCCATCTAACCATTGGTATGAATTATACCTTGCTTGCTCCAGTCTCTATACCCCACTATATTGCCCATAATGATTTTAATCTTGTGACTCTCTCCTCCAACGTCAATGTGCCCTCCATACCGGATCCATATGATACCCCCATTATTACTTCTTATTCATTTTTTCTTGATGGCAGAAATTACAAAGACAGTCTTATGTGATTATTGCAGGTTTCTCTTCAGTGTTATTTCTAAGTTTTCAACCATTTTCTTTTGGTTTCTTTTAGATCTGTTCTAATGGGTCTTGAGTTTATTGTTTATTTTTTTTATTTTACAGGAAAAAAAAGAAACAATTTTTTTGGAGATGTTTTTTGAATATTAATACATATGTTCACATCTCAGACATGGAGTTGCCTGAAGCTCTTCCCATACCACCTCGTGTGTCTGGGGTGATCTGGGTGTCAGGGGTGAGTCTACCTTCTGCAGGGGACATACAGTTCCTCATACACAGAGATTTAGAGTCTTACTCTTACATGCAATCTCATGTTTTTTCTCCTCTAGTCTGAGACTGAGTTTGTGGAGGATCAAGGACGAACTGGTGAGAATTTAGATTTTATATTCTCGGCACCTTTCTTTGCTCAGGCAGCTAATCATGAGCCTCAGACAAGTATTCCACCTCCTGCTCCCTTTTTGCAACTAGTATGTCAAGTTTGCAATATTTTGATTATTTCTCCTCTAGCTTATGAATCTTCTCCTTCTTTATTGAGGGAAAACCATTCATCTGATTACCTGGTCCTTCCACCTTTGTCAGACATTGCTGTGCATGTAAGGAGATTTGCTAATCATCTGAGAGAAGGTGCTGCCATGCATTGTCCTCCTCATTTAGTGGATCAGCATGGCTTGGCTTTCCATTGCCTGAAGCACCTTTATTTGGACTCTCAGAGGTTAGACCTTCTTTTTTCCTATGTGGGGCTCTAGACAAGATGCCATATTTTGGCTTAATCAATCTCAATTTACCAGAATTCGTCTATAACAACAGTTTTGTCATTTTTTTGCAACTGTTGTCTGAGGCTTATCACAGATCTCCTGTACAATTTTTGGGTGATCTTAGTCATTTATTGACTTCTACTTTGGGCAGATTATCAGCTTCTGCTCTCTCCTTGGTATCTTGGTTGGTTTGTTGTTGGGATCTTTTAGAGAGAGATGCCTTGCTGGAGAGAGTTTGCCTTCCTGCTTTGGCCCTTAGAGATCTCAGAGAAGCTCCTTTTCTCAGACAGCCTATATTTGCTAGTATTCCTGATTCCATGAAATCTTGAGTGGATGTGGCCCGTCTCCACTCTTCTATTTCTACCCTGGCTTCTTGACTGGCATAAAGTTCTTTTACAGGATGGTTTTCTGTGTCTCCTGTTCAAGTTTCTAGACCTTCTGTTGTGGGGCTATGATCCATTGGAACACAAGGAAGATTCCAACATTACCAGTGGGTATCCTCTTCTAGGGTAGAGCTCAGACAACAGCGTCGGTGACTACTTTATAGGGTTAGGTTCTGTGGGGTCTTGACTCAGAGGATTCGTGTCAGTATGAGATCCTTCACAACAGATCAGTGTGTCATTCAAGTTCTCACGAAAGGATTGATCATTCAGTTCACATCTCCTCCTCCAATATCTCTCATACTAGTTGGCTTTCCATTTCCCAAGGACCCTCTCGCATTCAGATGTCGAGCTCAAGTCATGTAGGATCTTCTGCATAAAGAGGTCATAGATCGAGTTAACTTCTCTCTTGAGGATTTTTATTCCTGGCTCTTTGTGTGGTATCGATAAAGATGGATGATTTGTGACTTATCATCTACCTTTTTCGTCTCTTTGGTTTATAATGGACTGGTTTCTGTCCCTTCGGTGGCTCTTCAAATACAGTTGTCTCCTTCTCCACCAGCATGTGGAGTTCTATCTCTTTTGGAGATGTGGGCATCCTAGAAATCACTCATTTCTTTAGGTCAGGCTCACATGCAGACTCTTCAATGGTCATTACAAGACCAGTGGAACATTTTCACAGATTCACTGGATTTTCTGGTGATCCTTTCAGCTTCCTGTTTGCAGGATCTTGGCTGGTGGTCGAACAGGGACAATACTACAATTGTTGTCACATCCAGAGATACATCTTTTCACAGATACTTCTCTCCAGGGCTGGGGTGCTTGTATAGAGAATATGGAATTCAAATGACTTTGGACAGAAGAGGAAACTTTTCTGCATATCAATCTATTAGAATTTCTAGCCATTCAATGAGCTATGATTCAGGTTGTTGAATTGTTACGAGGAAAGGTGGTAATGCTTCACTTGAACAATTCCACAGTCATCTCCTATATTTGAAAGCAAGGTGGCATTCATTCCAGATCTCTATGCTTTTGAACATTGGATCATCTGTTTTGGGCACATAAACATCAGATCATTCTCTTTGCTTGTCATGTTTCAGGGGTAATGAATATAGTGGCGGACCAGTTATCTCATCCCAACAGAGCTTTCCTACAGATTGGATGCTTCATCCTCAAGTTTTTTGTTGGATTTGTTTTCATCTGGGAATGCCTCAGGTCGATGCTTTTGCCACACACACTGGAATGCTCAGCTCCCACCCTTGTGGTCTCCTGTACCTCACCCTCTGGCTTTGGGCATTGATGTTTTCAGCCAAGATTTGATGGATCTTCATCTTTACCAGGTCCCTCTGATTGTGTGTTATCCAAGGTTCTTGCATTGATTCACTCCACATCCTATTGAGTTCCTCTGGTGACACCACATTGGCTGGATCAACCTTGGTTTCCACTCCTCCAGTATCTTCAGGAGTTTCAAAATCTCTTCCCGTTCCTCTCTGACCATCTCTCTACATCAGCCCTGTTTAGACATTTTTCATCTGGCAGTTAATGCTCTTCGACTACACGCCTGGCTTTTATGTGTCCATTGCATGACACCAGGGTTTGACTTCTCAGGTAGAATCCTTATTATCAATGAAAATGGTTTACTTATCGTCAATGGTCTTTCAGACATGTGTCTACTTGTCCCACTGGGCCACATGTCTCTCAATTTCTGACGTCGTTATTCGACAAAGGTGAATAAGAAGTAATAACTGGGAGCATATGTATGGGTCTGATATAGAGGGCATATTGATGTAGGTGGAGAGATTCACAAGATTAAAATCACTATGGGCAATATAGTGGGGTATAAAGATGGGAGAAAGTGAAATATAATTCACACTAATGCTTAGATGGGCAGAGAAGAGACACTTCCATTGGAATAAGGCTAAAGTGTGAGAGGAGGTAAGTATTACCAGAAATACATTTTCAGTATAGGAAAATGGAAACTTACACGGAAAGAAATCAGTGCAAGTAGTGAATAAAACATATTTTCTGATTTGGATGGGTTTAGTTTTTAATTGGAATTTTCTTTTTCAATTTTAGTGCATGCTTCATTTGTCTTCAAAGCTCAACTATCACAACTTGGATGAAGAACTACTAAAACACTTTGCTCGACTTCAAGCAAAAGATGATCAGGTAAGTAATTTTTCCATCATTTAAAATGTTTATGAAATCATAATTCAACAGGTGTCCAATGATCAAGTCTGTTTTGTCATTGTTAAATTTTAAATTCAAATTCAGCATAAGCTGAAGTTTTTAAAATGAAACCAGGCTATGATTATTTCGTATCCTAGCTGTCCATCTTTTCCTTTTATCAAATACTATTGTTGGTACATTTTCTTTTCATCATAATTTCAGGGTCTCATTTTGAAATATAAAATTTTATTGTAAATTATGGAGAGTAAATTATATTTTAAAAGATGCTACCATGTGTGTGTGTTTGGAAGATGAGCTTTTGGCATGTTATAACTCTTTAGTTTGTAATATTTAAATGTGTAAATGTATAGTAGAGTTTGTCTATGAAATTGTTTGAAGCTGCTGGTAGGCAGTAACTGTTGAGAAGTTTTTGGGGTAGGAGGGTGAACTTGACATGCTGGATTTTGAATCCGAATGTTTTTGTCACATTGCTACTAAAACATGCTCCAGACTATTTGATTAACAAGTAGCTCAAGAGTTGATGGTTGTGGTACTGTTAAGTAGCTGCCTTCCCACTAAGATAAAATAACCCTACATTGCTTGTTTAGTGACATTTTGTAGTAGAAGAGAGTAAATACCAGGTACAATAATATATATAGAAATCCTGAATAAACTATAGATAAGTATTTCATAGGTTCTAGAGTAAATGCAACATGCAAACTGTACGATGGACCAAGGTATTTTTATTCTTCACATGAACATCACCTTGCATTCCAATTTGTCAGAGTTTTAATCAGACTGACATTGTCAAGTCAACATATCTTGATACAAATACCTTTTTAACACATCTAATTTTTGTGTGTGACAGACTTGTAGATTTTACTAAAATCTTGCCACAACATTCCTTCTCTAGTATGTGGTCAGTCCAGTGGACCAAGTCCATGCATATTTTCTTAAAGCATAAACTTCAACTAAAGCATTTTATTAATGGACATTTTTTCTAATTATTACAGGGAGGAATTCGAACAAATACAACAGTTTGTTTGGGAAAAATAGCAAGTTATTTGCATCCACAGGTAAAGTTTATTTCTTCATAAGATTGCTATTGTGAATATCTTTTGTTGTTTTGAGAAAAATTATGATATAGCTTTAGAGATTTTATGGCAGGTTTCAGATATAATCAAAAAGTATTATTTGATAAACAGATTTTTAAAATTGTCATATCACCACATTTAGATATAATCAAGAAATATTACTTAATAAACTGTCCATAAATCTTTTTTACACTACAATCAAAATGTAAGAAAAGAATATTACCCAATACAGTGGTTCCCAACCTCTGGCTTGTGAAACATTGCTGGTCAACACGGAGATTTTAGCCAGTCTATAAGATGGTTGAAATAAAACAAGTTTTAAAATATAGGAACTGAAATATATTCTTTTGCAACATGACTTAAAAGTGCTTTTAATTTCTTATGAAGTGGCTCGTAAAATTTTGGGTTCAGAACTAGCTGGCCCTTAAATGAAAAAAAAAGAAAGTTGGGAGCCACTGATGTAATATACAGACTATAGAAATATTAACTCCATCATGTTAACACATGATGAAAGACATTGTGTGACATACAGGTTTTAGAAATGTTACTCTTAAGTAGATATGATCAAGAGCCATTACTTAATATATATAAACACTTTTTAATTGCTTTAAACATTAATTTTTTTAAATCTTTAACAATGAAACGTGTAAAATTTATTTTTTAAATTTAGACTTTTTTTTCATATTTGAATGAAATTGGCACAAAACTTAAAACAGCTTCGAAAGATGTGGAAGAAAGGATAAACATTGAAATATGACTTGATAAAGTTTTCACAGTAAGAATGTAGTAACTATTTTTTATTGTTTAGAATATCTAAACTATCTGTTTTGTGTAATCTTGTGCCATTTTCAGACGAGACAAAAAGTTTTGATATCTGCATTCTCCCGAGCCATGCGTGATCCTTTCCCTCCAGCTCGAACAGCAGGAATTCTTGCCCTTTCTGCTACACAGAGTTATTACACCCTACGAGACTGTGCCACAAGAATTTTACCAGCTCTTTGTGCTTTGACAGTTGATCCTGATAAATCTGTAAGAGATCAGGTGTGTAACTACTGTAAACAGTCAGAAGTTATCAATGTTGCCAGTTTCTAAGCTAGCGATCAGGTGTGTAACTACTGTAAACAGTCAGAAGTTATCAATGTTGCAAGTTTTTAAGCTAGAGATCAGGTGTGTAACTACTGTAAACAGTCAGAAGTTATCAATGCTGCAAGTTTTTAAGCTAGAGATCAGGTGTGTAACTACTGTAAACAGTCTGCAAGTTTTTAAGCTAGAGATCAGGTGTGTAACTACTGTAAACAGTCAGAAGTTTTTAAGCTAGAGATCAGGTGTGTAACTACTGTAAACAGTCAGAAGTTTTTAAGCTAGAGATCAGGTGTGTAACTACGGTAAACAGTCAGAAGTTATCAATGTTGCCATTTCTAAGCTAGAGACCAGGTATATATCATCCTTGCTCCAAGTTTTTGAGATGGATATCAGGTGTGTAACTACTGTAAATAATCAGAAGTTATCCATGTTGCCAGTTTCTAAGATAGAAATCAGGTATGTATCATCCTTGCTGCAAGTTTCTGAGCTAAAGATAAGATACATAACTACTGTTTAAACATAGAAGTCATCCATGCTACAAGTTTTCAAGCTAACAAACTAAAGCTTTAGTTTATGGTTCTAAAGAAATGAAAGAAAATTGGTCTTGTTGTTTTTTAAATTTTTATTAGATATCAAATCCATCACAAAGTATTAAAAATTTGTTTATAGTTTATGGAAATTACTTTAGAATTTTTTACTACAGCACAATTTTAGGTGACACCGTAAAGTTTCGTTATATTGATATATTTTGAATTAACGCTAATTTATATAAAGGATTGCATTTAGTAATTTGTAATATTATAGTTCTTTGTATTTATTTTCACCCAGGCATTTAAAGCAGCAAAAGGTTTTCTAAGTAAACTGGAGAAAGTTTCGGAGGACCCTAGTCTAACTGAACAAATGGGTATGTTTGCATTCTAGTGTTAACAGCTAATTGTGTATGTTTTTATTTAGGGACCCCTGTGAGATGCTTAAAATTGTCTGTTGATTAGAAAATTAAGCCTAAAGCTTAAAATACATTTTTATGATGAAAAACATTCAGCTAACAAATTCTGACTATTTTTCACACAGTATTTTCATGTTTTCAAATAAGCAAGTAAAAATATGAAGGATATACTAAGTTAAGAAGTTTTTAAATGTATATATATATATATATATATATATTTTATTCAGGTTTTACTATAAAATGATAAAAACTCTGTAATCCGAACACTTTTGAAAGATGGCTCTTCCTTCTTCAGGTTTAAATATAATAATGAAAAGTAATAGCCTTTTAAAATACTAAGTAAGTTTTCATCTAAATGAAACCTTGTAAGTTTTGACTTTGGTTGATCCTAATACCAAAAGAATTCAGTAATTTAGAGCCATCTCTACAAGTTAACATTTATTGAGTAAACTGAATACACTATCTTTTACCAAAATAGACAGCTGAGTTTATTCAATGTAAAATGAAAAGATGTTGTTGACACTAGAACATGGAACTGGTTGGACCACTTTGATAGATCTATATTGATATAAGCATTAGATAAAGAAGTAAGATGTACACTTTTCGTGCTTACAGTAAATGGGTTTCCTGAAATAAATTGAGTTTTGTGTATTTGAAACAAGAAATATGTATATCTGAAATATTCTATTTTTTTTATCAACTAAGATATAAGAAAATTTTAATGAGAAGCTTAAGAGTTTTGTGAGTAATGTGTTGAGAATCTGATTTATCTAAATTTGAGAATGCTACCAATAATGTTTATTCATGAACAATTAATACATCTTGAAATAAATGTTAAATAATATTGTTAATCATAAAACCAAAGAATGTCCAATTTTAATTTCTTTAAATATATAAAACAATTTTTTTATTGATTCTGAACTCAGAAATAGATGTTTTTCATACACTTTCTCAATGAGCATATATGTTCATTAGTCGATACACTAACCTTCCAAAAAATAAGAAATTGCCTGGAAGATGAATTTTCTAGATTTATTATTTACAACACAAATTTTTAGTTCATTACTCATCAGCAAACCCCCATCTTAACACACACATGCACACATTCCCTGGCTACAGCAGTGTATAAGTCCAGTTTCATCTGGATTGTTTTTAAGTACAGTTAACTGTACAAGTGTATTTTGAAATATAATTATTGTATTTAGTTATGATCTATATTCTGTATTACTTAGAGGCTGATGTAAATGCTGCTAGCTCTGGATCTTCTACTGGTATAGCAGCCAGTTGGGCAGGTTGGGCAGTTTCTTCCTTAACAGCTAAGTTTTACAAGTCCAGTCAACAGTCTCCTTCTCAACCCACTGCTGTTCAAGCTGACTCTCAATCACCAAAATGTGAGCACAAATGCTACTGTATATTTTTCCATAACTCTGATTAGTGATGATCATTTTGAAAAATTCCATGTGTGCATTTTACATTACGTTTTCTTTCTGACTCATTGTGTAAGTGTTATGTTCTCTTTCATTTTCACCTCTTGTTTTAAACTAGGTTGGTTATTATTTATTGTTTTCTATTCCAATATTTATCAATCTCCATCTATTGTTCCCACACACCACTGTCATTCTCCAATTGTTGTGTTTTCAAAACATTGTCAGTTAGATTTATTTACATTTTACTGTTGTGCTTTTAATATTTAACTTTTGTGTTTCTAGTGTCTTCAGACTCTAGTCATTCTGTTGTGTCTGATCAGTCTCATGCTGCTGCAGCCATTGTGAAAGATGATCATCAAGACTCTGGCTCAGATAATGAAGAAGAATGGAATGACTGGGGGGATATAGAGGCTAGTATCATTCTTTTAAATACTTTGAAACATTAAGGGAGTGACAAAAACTTGGAATTTGTTTTGTAATCATAGATAGAAACCTAGGTTTTAGCATTTAATATATATATATATATATATATATGTTGTTGTTTTTTTCAAGGACTCTTCTGTTACTTCATCAACCACAGCTGTGCCTACTACATCATCAAAACTAGAGGGATGGGATGTGAGTGAGGATTGGGAAAGCTTTGAAATGGACTCTGGAGGAGAAAAAAGCAATACAACAGTAAGTCGTATGTTGAATACAAAAATGCCCTTCAAGCTAAACATAATAATGATTGACACATTGTATGTACAATGGGAAAGTTACAAACATGGCAGAACAGATTCAGAACATAGTTAGTTTGGAAATAATTAAACATTTATCAAAGATGCAAGAAATCTTTGTACAGAGAGGGTCAAAAGAAAGTAAAACATTGGGCAAATTTATGGAGTGTGTCAGAATTTAAAATATAATATTCTTTTTTGCCAATTGTCAAAATAAAAAGGCTTTTACTTATATTTCTTTATAGTATATAAATATATACTATGTTGTTGTTGGGCTTAGGATTCTTTTATAATAGGTGTCTGTGACTTGCTGGAGATAAATTCAACGAACAGCACGGACTTCACTTGTTTTCTAAATAATATATATATTTGGAACTAGTTGAACATATGTACAACAAATTATTCACACTATAGAGATTATAAGCATATCATAAACACTTTATATATAGTTCTCCTCCTCTTGTCAAAAATCCACATAGGCATAATCAATTACTTTAGAATTTCAGTTGACAAGCCGAACTATCTTCTCTATTACTATCGCACTAGCATTCTGCGTGTGATTCACTTACAATTCTGACGCCAGTTACTGTAACTGTTTGATCTTCTTTTTTTCTGAAGATCCTCTGTTTCTTTTGCCAAAATGCACTCAGGCTGATTCAATTACTTTAGAACCACGCTTTGATGGAATAAATTATTTTTCTTATCTCTATTTCTACTGTTAGTCTTACTCTAACATATTAAACGTTAGGCCTACGTCAGTCATTGGGTCTATCACTTCTACGCTTGATAACTTTACACCGAATGTTTCCTTGGCCTGTAACTTTACTCATTTATGCTATTATCTGTCTGCTGTTTTTGCTTCTCTCACTATTTATATCTTTATTGCTTAATAGTCTGCCTACCTTCTATATTCTCAACATCAATGTATTACACGTGACAATCGATAGTTTCAACATCAATGAATTATTAACAAAACTTCCTACAATCATCTGCTTTTAACTCTTATTACAATAAAAACTAAACAATAATAAAGTATTCACTCAAAAATAAATCAATTAATAATATCTAAACTAAACAGTCTTATCATGACAGAGTATTTTTCTGATTAGATAAAACTTGTGTATAATGGGTTTGTCAAGCAGGTCCAACCTCATACAAAGCCCACAGCAATTACATCAATCACCAATTTGAATCCATCTTATTGTCTTAATTTAAAATTATTTGCCTTAATAATCTCTCTCATCATTAGCTCCTTAGACTTACATGTTAAGTTGAATTTGTATAAAATAATTTGTTTAACCCTTTATTATCTCCACCCATATATTTACACATGCTAGATATCATCTCCTCCTGTATATTTATGCCAGTTATAGTAATGAAAAAACTTTCATGAATGATGAAGGGTTAAAGAGAAAAATCAAATAGAATTTACCAAAAATATACAAACCAGAATTTTCAGTGACATCTCTTTTCTGAATAGCTTGTTTCAACATGTATGTATAATGGCTTTTGATCATAAAGTACATAAAAATCCCTGTTAAATATACCTTTTGTTCTTTCTTTACATTTTCACGGTTGAATATATAGTGACAGTTTGCTCATTTTCCAGTTAAGACCTCGTTTTATTAGTTTAATGGCAAGAGATTCTAGCTTTCTAAGTTGGAATTCCTTCCAGGAATGGAAGATTGATGCAGAAACACTGTAAGTAGGCACAACAGCACATTTGTTTAGATGGTAGTTGATAATACTACTGGTAGCATACGTTTTAGTGTTAGTGTTATTTTATTTGATTACAGAGTGTTTGGTCCAGTATAGCCCTGGTTGCACCTTAGGTATGCAAATTCATATTCATTATGGATGTTGTTTGTCTTCAAAGTTGAAGAGCCCTTTTAACTTAGACTCTATTTTAAAGACATATTTAAACAGAACTTGTGGATTTACTGTTTAATAATTTTCTTCTTAATCAGGTATGAAATAGTGCCAAAGTAGGATTTGACTAAAATCTCAATTTTCTTTGGAACATCTGACTACAGATGAGGTATTTAGTTTTCTGTTTAGAAATGCCAATGGAAAACAGTTTTATTTAAGCATCTGCTTAATGTTCTCAACTTCTGCTTGAAAAACCTTTTGATTTACTGATATTTTAAACACTTTGTATACCACAATTTTAATCAGATTTTCTTTAACCCTTTTGCTCCTGGTAGGTCAAAGTGTGCATGTCACAACCTTTTACAGAGTTACATTAAAAATTTAATTAAGCTACTTTATTATCAATGTACTGGAATAAACTTGGTATCAAAACATGGTTGATAGATAAAATTTTGATATTATTTAAGTTTTAAGTACTTGATTTTATAAGAAAATATTTAACAAAATTTTCAATCTCTCCTGGTATGAGAACAGTGATGTTTGCTCTCTATGTGAATAAAATGTGAATAATGCCCAGTGAATACACTTTAGTTGTTAGTATACCCTGTGTCAGAAACTACTTTTTAGTAATATATATATAGTAATGTAAATATATGGGTGTGTTGGGCTAAGGATTCTTCTACAGTAGGTGTCTGTGACATTTTGGTGATAAATTCAACAATAAACAAACAGCATATGATCCACTTATTTTTAAAATAATATAGATATTCGAAACAAGTTAAATGTATGTACAAAAATTCTATACACTATGGAGAATCATAGTTGTATCTTAAACACTACACAGTTCTCTTATTGTCAAAACTCAACTTAGGCCAATTCAATTGCTTTAGAATTCAGTTAACAAGCTGAACTATTTTTCTCTATTTTTATCACAATAATATCCATATTATAAGCATAAGTTACCGCAGTTGTATCCTGAACTTCCAATAATCGTCTGCTTTTCATACTTCCAATAATCGTCTGCTTTTCATACTTCCAATAATCGTCTGCTTTTCATACTTCCAATAATCGTCTGCTTTTCATACTTCCAATAATCGTCTGCTTTTCATACTTCTAATAATTGTCTGCTCTTTGTACTTCCAATAATTTTCTGCCTTTTGTCAAAGTCCACACAGGTGGGTTCAGTTAGTTTAGAACACCCTTTGACATATTATTCTCCTTATCTCTTTCAAACTGTTAATCTCCCTCTAAACATATCAACCGTTAGGCCATTCACTCCCAGGATGGTTAACTTTACATTTTCTAAGTTTTTCTTGACCGAACTTCTCTTTCATGTGACTTTACTTTTACTCTCTTCCCACTTGTTTGGTCTCGGCTATTTATATGTCTATAACTTAGGCCTTCTAGAAATATCCATAGCCTCGACATCAATAGATCAAAAACACAACATTCAATAGCCTCAACATCAATGAATTACAAACACAAAATAAATAAATTAATAATACTACCTACATTAAACAGTCTTTTATATCTGACATCCTGATTTTTAAGGCATAAATATCTAAGAATGAGAGTTTGTAATTTTTTTATTTCTAACGTTAAACTTTATATTGGGAAGTTCATTTAAAAACTGGAGAAATTTGTTATGTGACTCAACATAGTTAAACATCACAAAATTGTCATGAGTTTGTCTCCAGTAATACTCAGGCTTAAAATGTTCAGGACAGGAATGTAACCAATTTTTTTCTGAAAGCACAGGACAATGTTAGCAAGGTTGGAGCCCATAGCAACTCTATCAGTTTGTTCATAAATTTTACCAGTAAACATAAAATAGGTTTGTTTGGTAGCATTATGTGTTTTGAAAAAATCATTAGTCATACCCTATACAACTTTATTTTCAACGAACACAAGGTTAGAACAAAGATCAATGGTTTGGTCTAGAGGTAAATTTGTGAACAATGGTTCAGTATCATAACCTGCACAATGAACATCATCATTATACTGTGTTTAAGTTATTGAATATTCGTTTTATACAAACTCTTTCAAAAACATGATGAAACCTCTTGCTAATGGTTGATTACAGGTGCCTACAAAACATTTGGTCTAAGTGAAAATTTCTGTTTGTTAACTTTAAGGAGTCCATATAAAACCCCACACTGTGAGCTGTGGTTTGATGTTCTGTTGTGAAAATGTAAAGAAAGAAGGGAATATGAACTATAATCAATGAATACGAGGTGGAATAAAAACTGTTTGGTATGAGGCAAATAAACTCAATGCTGCCTGGGAAATTCATTATCTGCAGTATTGTTATTTTCTACTGAAACCGTTGGAGTATTTTGTTTATTTTCATGGGAAATTTATGTAAATAGTGTATCTGATTAATTGATCTGACATAACTTTCAAAGAGAGAGCATTAAATGGTATTGTTAAAAATATAAATTTTTATCTAGTTATCAAAAGTAAAATTTCAGGAAAAAATGTCTGGTCAAGTTACAGTACCGTTTTCAAATTTCTTTATCATAAGGTTCAGCCCACCTCTTTCACACTATTTTCAAATCACTGCCAGAGACCTATCCTTCCTGTTGCTTTACTGGTTTTAAACTGCTGTGCTTTCAACCAAAAATCCCCTTACAAGGTATAGGTATAATTTTCTAATGAAATTAATTCATATTTCTGTATCAATAAAGACATGTTATCGTATCTTAATTTACTTATTTGTTTAGGTTTCATCAAGTAGAGGGGACTGGAATGAGAGTTTACATGAAGACTTTATTCCAGCAGACCCTAAGTTAAAGCCAGCTAGTTCCTACAATTGGAAAACCCAACCATCTTCAGTATCAGACGATGTTTTTTCGTCCCTTGGAGGTTCTTCCAAAAAGGTGAGATAAACATTCTAGAAACACAAAAAGTGCCAATTTCACAGGATGTTACAGTTTCATACATACTTTGACCAGCATGGCTAAAGTATAAGGAAAACATATTTGATGCATATAAGCCCTGAATCATAGCTTTCTTGCATTTAAAAGACCCAAAACACATTTTACAGTATGGCTTCGGCAATATTTATATCTTTAAATAAATTAGTAAATGGCAACCATTACTTTCCAGTAATTCAAAATAACTAAAGAATTGTATCTTGTTAAACATTATGGAAATATCTCTTATGAAGTGAAAGAATTTGATAAAACTGACAAATAATCCATGAAACATTAAAGTTTTTTAGATAATATATGTAAAGTGTACGTATGTCATACTTTTATATTTCTGTATAAACTATATGTACTGTGTACGTAGTTATGACTTTTGGAGTTGTGTAGCTATATACATGTCTTTTACATAGTTATGTCTTTTGGAGTCCTGTAGCTATATACGTATGTCATACTTTTATATTTCTGTATAAACTATATGTACTGTGTACGTAGTTATGACTTTTGGAGTTGTGTAGCTATATACATGTCTTTTACATAGTTATGTCTTTTGGAGTCCTGTAGCTATATACGTGTCTTTACATAGTTATGTCTTTTGGAGTTCTGTAGCTATATACGTGTCTTTTACATAGTTATGTCTTTGGAGTTCTGTAGCTATATACGTGTCTTTACATAGTTATGTCTTTTGGAGTTCTGTAGCTATATACGTGTCTTTTACAT